ATCACAGCTGGCAGACCCTGCACAAACCTCTGCAAGACAGAGCCACCTCCTCAGTAACCCTCAGCTGGTGAGGCACAGGAGGACCAGCTGGGGTGAAGCTCATTTCAGTGCACAAGGCAACAAGCACAGCAGTTTTTCTAGGCAACAGCTTCTACTGATCAGTGTGAGGGAGCCAGGGCTGAAACTTTTAAGAACTTTAATAAATTGCTTCTAAGCCCCCCTCACCAGCCACCCATTGCACATGTCATGTGCTCCATCCAGAGTCACTTTCCCTATGACCCAACCACCCTCCCCACACCTGAGGTGTGTGACCAAATCCTGTTGCTGCAGGTGTGAGTGGAGAACTGGGGCAAGCCCAGCCCAAACCAGGGATCATTTCAGAGAGGCAACAACCCCAAAGCACTGGGAAAGCCCTTGGGAATGCACTTGGGAATGTCCTCACCACTGGGGAGCACACCATGCAGACCATCATCCAGCACAGGGGGCTCCTCAGTCTGGGAACACGTTTGTGTTACAGCCCTGCAGGTGACAAGTCCAACTCTGTCCCACAGACCCCAGGTCTGGGGCTCCTACCTGCATCAACCCTCCCAAGAGGGACACAGCACAAAGTCTACAACAGACAGGAGAGAGACTGCCAGAAAGACTCTACTGCTCTCCTATGAAGGAGCAGAGCTCCCAGCACTCAGAAAAAGCCTGTGCTTTATTGAATGTTCTTCCATATGGGCTTCAGGAGCTAATAACTGCAGAACCAGCAGCCAAGTGCTGCACAGGCACTCTCTGAAGGATGCAAGAAAGGAAGGAGCCCAGATTCCTTCCTGCAAGAGGAATCCCACTGGTGAGTCATTAAAGGCTTATGAAATGGAGACCATCTTGGCTTCAAAAAAAACCAACGTGCAAGCAAGACACCTGGTGGGCTTTGCCCACATCATGGTTGTAGAATCAATTCCCTGATGTGCAGCCCTTGGCTCCCAGGGCCCAGCCCCACGTGAGGAGCTGGGTGTCAGCCTGACCCCCCCAGGCTGAACCCCAGGGCATTAACACCATGAACACATCTGGGGGGACACAAGGACACACAGCCTGACAGAGACACCTGTACTGCAGAGCCATGGTGTGAAGCCAGCTGAGAGCAGGACAAAGCCCAGCAGCCACAGGCTTCACATGAAGAAAAAGTAAGAATTCCACTGTAAGGGAGAAAGGAAAACAATTCCAGAAATGTGCCATTTGACAGCAGGATGTAAATGTGCTGAGCCCCAGCAGAGCACTTCCCCACTCATCACACTAGGACATTTTTCTCCTCTGTGAATTTCTCCACTTGCCTGGCTCATTTCTTCCCCCACTAGCACAAACCTTTTCTCTTCCCCAGCCTATGCATGACCATCAAATGGCACTGCCAAAGGGACTGGCAACCTGGCAGCAGCAGGAACCAGCACCCACTCACCCACCCTGGCCACACACTGACCATGTCCCTCACCAACCATGTCCCCAGCACTGCTCCCTTCAGACAGGGCACAGCCACAAAGCTACTCACTTTCAGGCTCACTTTGTAGCCCTGCTAAAAGATACACAGCAGTATGTGGTTAAATTTAGTCTGTCAGGGCAATTTCAGCCATATCCTTTTGATAGCACAAGAAACAAAGCAGGATTTTCCAATTCCTTTTATCCTGTGCCACAGTAGAGAACGTGCCAATGTCTTCTCTTCCATTTTTCTCCTTGATCTCCCAATGGCAACCTGGGTATCACCTGTAATTTGTTGGGTTTAGAGGAAACAAGAGCAGGACTGTCCTAGTAAGGACTGCAGCTCCTTTTGGGTCAATGCTCAGGGAGAAACACAAGATGCTGCAGGTTGGAAGGGACCTCTGGTCCAACCTGCCTGCTCAAGAACCACTTGTCCAGGACCATGTCCAGATGGCTTTTGAGTATCTCCAAGGATGGACATTTCACAATCTCTGGGCAACCTGCAAAAGGGCTTTTCTGTGCCAAATTCTCCCCCTTGCTGGCACTGGAAGAGTTAAAGTGTTTTTAACCCCTTTTTAAGCACAAAGCCCTAAAACCAACCCAGGCTTTAAGCAGGGACAATGACAGACAAGCTCCTCTCTCAAGATATCTCCCTGCAGAGCCAGTTTGAGGACAGGGTTTCAGCACCACCCCAAGTGCTGCTGCAGTTCCATTTGTTGCTGCATTAGCTGTGGCTGCACAGCTGGGGGTGGGGGAGCTCCTGACCCCCCGACTAATCTGCAGCTGCCCTCATTACCACAGGCTCCCATCTGCTTCCTGCCTGCAAGTGCTCACACCCCCCAGCTCAAACAGAGACCCACCAAGGAAGGTCAGAACTGCTCTGAGCTCCTACCCTGTAGCCAAGCACTGCTACTTGAAAGAGGGATGGCCAACATCAGGGTTGATGCACTTGGACCAAAGACCACCAAGACATCAGAGTACAGACATTTGGTGGGAGCTCCAGCCCAGGGGCAGCATCAGCAGCAGGAGGCACAAGAGTAGAGATCATACAAATCAGTGAAAGGGCTGAATCCCAGCCCCACAGGTATTTCACAGAATCACAGACTGGTTTAGAAGGGACCTTAAAGATCATCCAGTCCCACCCCCTGCATGGGCAGGGACACCTCCCACCAGCCCAGGCTGCTCCAAGCCCCATCCAACCTGCCCTTCAACACTGCCAGGGATGGGGCAGCCACAGCTTCTCTGGGCAACCTGGGCCAGGCTCTCACCACCCTCACAGTAAAATTTCTTCCCCAGATCTCATCTCAATCTCCCCTTTTTCAGCTTGAAACCATTCCCCTTCATCCCATCCCTCCCTGCCCTTGTCCCAAGCCCCTCCCCAGCTTTCCTGGAGCCCCTTCAGGCACTGGAAGGTGCTCTAAGGTCTCCCTGGAGCCTTCTCTTCTCCAGGCTGAACACCCCAGCTCTCTCAGCCTGTCCCCAGAGCAGAGCTGCTTCAGTCTCTCATTATCTTCATGGCCTCCTCTGGACTCACCCCAGGAGCTCCTGTTGCCAGCCCAGCTGCTCCCTGGAGCATCCACCACACCAGCACAGTCATGCTTTGTGCCCAGAGCAAGGGAGGCCTGGGCTCCTGCCTCAGAGGAGAGATGTCATCTAAAGACACCAGCTGCCAGCCCTGACAGCTCCCATGGTGGGTTCCCAGCACAAGCCAAGCTCCTCCACAGCCACTTTTACCTCCAATCAAGTGCTTCCACACCAGGGAAAGTGCAGAGGTGAGAAACCCTGCTCACCCACTGTGTTGGGACTGGAGGGACTTCAGGCTCAGAGCAGTGCTTCTTCCATGCTGCATTTTTAACCAGCAGTTAGGGAAATGGACCAGAAACCAGCCAAGCCCAGAGCTCTGAACTTTCATCAGCCCTGGAAGATGCCAGGAGGCCTGATCATGGCACCCAGAAGGGCAACTCTGCCCTGTCCACTAAGTTTTTCCAGCAGCTTTGAGCCAGGACCATTAATAAAAGAATGATACAAGGGCACAATTTAGTTGAAGCTGTCCCTTAAATGATCCCCTCCATGAAGATGCAGGGAATTGGAGTAGATGACCTTTAAAGGTCCCTTCCAACCCAGACCATTCTGATTCCATGTGGCCCTCCATCAGGGAGCAGATGAGCTTTGGTCCCATCCAGAAGAGCATCACAGGCAGCAGTGGGAAGCCAAGTTCTGAGTGTTGCACCAAGATGACCACACAAAAGCTCCAGAGGCTGGAGCTGCAAGTCTCTTAGACACAAATCCTGTTTGCCATGGGAACACTGGGTCTGTCCCACCTTTGCAGCACCTGGCTTGGTGAACAGGACTTGCCCTCATGGAGCCATCTGCCAATTCACCTCCAGGGCAACAACTCTGGCTGCCAGCCCATAACTAATGGGTCACTGCACTGCAGGAACCTGCCAACTAAGCTTCAAGTACTTCTCATTAACATCAATCAACCAAGAGGAGGAGGAAGGTCTTCAAACCCACAGCAATACCCACATCTAAATATTACCCTGTTGTGTTTCCACACTTGGTGTTCACCAGCTTCTCTCACCCTGGCAAGACAGCACTATCTGCAGACAGACAGTCTGTAGGAAATCAGGCTCCTGCTTTCCCCATCCACATTCCCTGTGACCCAACCAGCTGGGGCAGAGCAGGTGGTCCTGCTGTTTCTCCAGAACACCAGCTGCAAAAGGAACATCAAGAATTACTCAAGGTGAAGGAGCTCAGACCTTGGCTGGTAAGCACAGCAAGGACCCACACCTGCTCCTCAGTTAAACACACTCCTTTCCAACACTTGTTCCAAGTCTTTGCCTCACTCCTACAACTTATCATAAGCCTTACAGAGCAGTGATAAAGCCAGACACTCCCCTGCCTTCTGAGTCATCCCACCCCACTGGGAGAGGGATCTCAGGGGGCTCCAACACCAGGGCTGGGTGGGTGGGAAAGCCCATTAGAGAAATCCCATTGGACTTGATCAGGTGGGAGCTGAGTTGCAGGGTGTTGATATTACACTTCTAAAAGCCCTCAAGGTTGAGGGCTCTGCCTGCTGGAGCACAGAGTAGCTGTGGGCAACAGAGCCTTCTCTTCATCAGAATATTAAACCACAACAGTAAAGCTTCTTCTTAGGTGCCCGAGGTAAAGTCAAGCTTTCCTACAAGGCAAAGCATATAAGTTAATTAAACTAACTGGAAAATGTGAGAGCTTCTGCCTCAGATGAGCACTCCCAGAGCTTATTAGTGAAAAGCTCTTCAACTTGGTTGATCACACTTACTAAGCAGATCTTCTGCAATAGGCACTTGGCTATGAGCAGGCACTGGCTGAGCCTCCCCAGCAGCCCAGGGAGGCATCCAGACCAACAGGAATTAACTCCCCCCCAGTGAGTATGGAAAAGGATAATTCAGACATATTGGTCACTTGAGCCCAGGTGCAGGATAATTGGTACATGTTCATCATTTCAGGTTGGTGCAAACATCCCAGCTTCTGCATGGAAAGGGACACCTCAGACAACTGCTTACCCACATCTCCATGGATCAGCTGATAATCACCTAATTGGCCTTACAACACAAGAGGACACCCCAGGCCAGACACCCCAGTGGCCTCAGGGGCTGGGACCCACCTCAGGCCCTGCAGAGAGCCAGGGAGCTACAACAGCCTTGCTTAGGTAAAACTGACCACTCAAAGGCAGGTGGGGTCACCCATACAATCCAGAAATTACTGGGTGGGGACAGGTTTTCTTGTCTGTGCTTGGAATTCAGCCCATTTCTCATTGACCTGAACTTGGGACACAAGACCCCAGACGTGGCTCACTGCTGGGCCAGCTCCATGAGGACATTCCCTCCCCCTCCCCCCAAAAAATTTTCCAGAATAAAACAAACCAAGGTAAATTCCAAAGCCTGACACATCCCATCAATTCCTGACTGCCTTCTGGAATAATTGGAAAACATTTCCATGTTTTGATGTTTTTTTAAGTGAAGCAGCTCCCTTTCTCATTTTGAAATGCCTGTTTGAAAGTTCCCTTCTGCTTTATATTAAAACACTTGCACAGGTGAAAAATAACCCACAAAACCCAAACCAGAATAAGCCCCAGCACATCTCCACTTTGTCAGAACACCCTGATCACTCCAGATAACTCCTGCAACTCTTGGAAGTCACCCCTAATGCAGAAAAACCCCACATATTTCTCCTTTTGCCACAGGTCCAACCTCACTGAGCTTCAACCATGCACACCCCAGACTCAGCTCTCCTTAGAGCATCACTTTGTTCCCTTCCTCACAGGGATTCAGACAAATCTCATAGATGACAACCTGGAGAAACACATGGCACATCAGGCCCAGATCCCCTCACCAGGACCAGAGGGCCCCTCCAGACCCACCCTAAAGCCACTCTGGGACCTTCACTCAAGAACCCACAGAAGACCTGAGCCCCACAACAAAGAAGCCACCACCCCAGGGCCACATTTTAACCCATTTATACAACATTTAGAAGAAAGCACCAAGTCCCCCACACATCTTTTCCTCCCCCCACAACCAAATGAATAGTTTCAATGAAAAAAAAAGAGGAGAAAAAACAACACTTACATGTGGAAGAGGAGAGCAACAAGAGCACCCCAGCACTGCCAACTTGCTCCAGGGCTGCTCACAGCCCCTATGAAGAGCAAAAGCAGCTGCTAGCCTGGCTGTGCTTTAATTAATGATCTGAATTAATTCCAGCTGGGGGGCTGCAGACCTGCCCCTTGTAAAGGGCTGTACAACTGCCTCTGCATTGGGTATGTGCAGAGGAAAGAATGAGACTGAGCTTAATTTTGGGGGCAGGTTGCAAGACAGTGGCTGATACACAAAGTTCTCTTTTGCACCATTTGGCAGTGGGGGGGGGAAGAGGAGAAAAACTGGGGGGCAGGGAAGAGCCCTGGCTGGGGACTGACCTAAGGAGGTGCCTGCCTGGCAGGGGGTGCTGCCACCTGCACCAGATTGGGATGTTTCTCTCACACCTGCATCTTGTTTCCCTGCCAGAGGAGATCCAGCACCAGGCTTGCAAGGAGAGGAGGACTTTGCTCTGGCTTTGGAGGAGATGGGATGTGAGGGCAACCCCAGTGCTGTGGCAGCCCCTGTGGCAATGCTCCCTCCTGGCCTGGGCCCTTGCAGGGTGATGCTGCCAAGCCCAGTTCATTGCTTTATGTTCCAGCAGTGCCAGGCTGAGCAAAACGATACAAAAGCAAGCAACCCAACACCCGGGAGGGCAGAGTCACTCCACCTTCAGGAGAAACAGCTACTGACCAGGTGGGCAGCCTTGTGCTGCATCCAGCTCCTTCAGCTCCTGCCACCAGGAATTCCAGGATGGTTTGGGTTGGGAGGGACCTTAAAGATCACCCAGTCCCACCCCCTGCATGGGCAGGGACACCTCCCACTAGCCCAGGTTGCTCCAAGCCCCATCCAACCTGCCCTTCAACACGGCCAGGGATGGGGCAGCCCCAGCTTCCCTGGGCAACCTGGGCCAGGCTCTCACCACCCTCACAGCAAAGAATTCCCTCCTCAGATCTCATCTCAATCTCCCCTCTTCCAGTTCCGATCCATTCCCCCTTGTCTTCTCCCCCCCTGCCTTTGTCCCAAGCCCCTTCCCAGCTTTCCTGGAGCCCCTTCAGGCACTGGAAGGTGCTCTAAGGTCTCTCCTGAGCACCAAGATGCCCTTGCACCAAGGTGCAAACAACCCTCAAGAGCCCATTATTGTGTCCAGATGTGTGATGCTGGGATGTCTGGAGTGCTTGTACCCACCCACAGCCTGCCATGTCCCAGCTCCAGAGCTACCCCATGGGAAGGTGGACACAGATGAGGCTTTGGCAGGAGCCTAGGAGACTCAAACCTGTATCTGATGGTGGTTTTATTTCATCCCAAAGCACCAGGACTTTATGAGCCCACAGCTGACTGTGGCTCCAGCTCATGGATACCCCAGAGTGCCAGTGCTGGGTGTCAGGCAGACCTGTTGGACCTTTAGGGGCAGTGGGAAGGAGGCTGTTCATCCCAGGCTCTTTAAAGAGCACTGGCAAGGACTAGAGGAGACCACCATTCCCAGCTCCATTTTCCTTCACTCCTCTGCTGGAGCTTCCCTCTTCTGTGACACGAGGGAGGCTGTCACTGCTGCAGTGGGTTTGTACTACCAGGCTACAGGGACACATGCGCGTGGAAACAGCCTGCACTTGCTCTCTGGCAATTCCAGCTCTGCTTTCTTGTTGGTTGTTTTTTTTTCTTAAGTAATTACCTTTTCATACTCAAAATCCACCTTGGATGAAAAGTGAAAAGGGCCCAATGTTACCTACTGGTGCATTTCATACACAATGTTTTAATCATGTAATGCATTAATAACATCATTAAAGTCCAAACCATTTGCTAGTAACGTGTATTAATCTGATTACTGCTTTGAAATAATGAAAATAGATCAACTGCTTCCTAGAGTCTGGGGCCAGGAGAGGCAGTGGGTCTGTGCTGGGCTGACCCCCTGCACATCCAGGAGCCAGAGATTTCCCTCAGCAATCCCTACCTGTATCCAGCTCCCCAATTTAAGAAGCAACACCTGATTGTGTATCAAAGACATCTGACACCAGGGAGCCCAGCACATCTCTTGGGGAGCTGCTCCAACAGCTGATTACCCCAGGCACTAAAAAAAATAGTCTTTACTTCCAGTGTGGGATTTGATAACTTCAAATGATTGCTGTGGGCTCCTCTGGCACCATGGTGGTGGGGTTTGTGGCTGTTTGGAGCTACCTCTTCACCACTGTCTGCCTCTCCCTTCCTGAGATAATTGTAACATGTTTATCTCTTTATTTAACTACCTCAGTCAGTCTTAGCTACCTTAATGGAAGGACCTTCTGTAGTCCCTCCTCACAAACCTGTTTTCCAGATCACAAACCTCCCTGGTACCCCAATATGGTGGAAACAGGCAAAGAGATGTCCAAGTGACGGGCTACCAAGAGGGATGTGAGCCTGTAAGGATGTTCACAGCAACTGCCTGGCTCTTCAACCCTTCATGGAGGCAAGAAACACTCATGGAAGGAAGTATCTGCCAGGCTGGGCCACCAGTCTGCTCCTGGGCAACCACCATGTCCTGAAAAAGTCCTCCTCCCAGAAGAGCCAGGCTTCAAAATCTATCTGAGAACAGCAAACTGACTTCCCTCCGTTTTCAGCCATATTTAGTGAGGCCATTATTTATGCAGGAAATAATTCAGCAGTATCCAGACATAACTTGCAATTGGAAAGAGGGGCTATAAAGAGATAAAGCCAAGGACCTGAGGAGGAGCCAGCCACGGAGCCTGGCGTGGCTACAGGGAGTGCTCTTCCAGTGCTGATGGAGCAGCCCTGCAAACACCAAACCTGTGCTGTGGGGCAGAGCTGGGTCGTGGGGACTGATGGAGCTGCCTCCCCTCAGACAGCTGCTCTCAAAAACCCCTTTCTCCAGAATGAGTCTTTTCCAGGTGTAGG